AATTAGGTTGAGGCCTTTTCCCATGAGCAGCTAGAGCTGCTAATGATATTTATGGCCATGTGTGGGTACATATTTAGATATGTTGTGATCTGTGTTAAAAAGACTGTCTTGGCTATAGAGAGTTTGATTTTCATCTGTAAGAACAGTAATAAAATCTCTATGTAAATGGTTAACATATTCAAAAATATTCAAGTTCTTGCTAAGTCCAGGGGATGCAGTTGTGAGAAGAATAAGCATAGCACAGTCTAGAGAGGGAGACAGACAATAAGACAAAGAATGAATATATAAACATAAACTCTGTTTTGGAGGAAAATGTCAGAATACCGTTTTAAAGAATGAAAAGTCCAGCTTCAGTAAAGTGATGAGAGACTACTTTTCTGAAGATGTGACAATTAAGCTAAAATTTCGAGATTCAGTCATGCTATGAGGGCAGAGAAGGCCATTGCAGGCAGAGCAGAAGCAATGCTAAAAATAAAAAGTCTGTCCTTTGAGCAGGAATTTTTTTGAAGCAGAGATAATTGTGTCTGGTCATCCACACACTGTCCCTAGTCAGTGAGGTGGCTACCTAGGATCAAGAATGCAGACTGATTATGAGACAGGACTTCTTGGTGAATCATTTGTATATTCCATACTCATCTTAAAACTGCTTTCTTTTCAGTCTTTGACACTAGCTAGTAGCTGGGGACCCAGGTAGATAAATGCTGTGTGTTGTTTTCTCTGTTCGCTTTGTTCAGAGCATGAATAGGTAGGTCATAACTGCTTCTGGTTACATCTAATGAGAAGCATCTAAAAGCCTTTATGGTGACTTGTTCTTTAATGATCTGCGATTGATGAAATTTTGCTTCTGGACATGTTAAGGATAACTTTAGCTTTTCTTTCTCGCACAGAGTTGAGTAATTCAAAGTGATATTAATGAGATTTTTTTGTAATTATTGGGGTGATATATTGGTTAATAAAATCAAGTAAGTTTCAAGTGTATAATTCAACAATACGTCATATGTTTATTGCATTATGTGTTCACCACTCAAAGTTACATTTCCTTCCATCACCAAATATTTAACCTCCTGTACCCCTCTCTATCTCCTCCCTCCCCTCCTTCTGTCTGGTCACCATTAATCCACTGTCCATGTCCACAAATAATGAGATTGTTTTGATGGTGTGGATTTTAATGAGTATTTCATACTCTAAAAAGGCATTCTCACTCAGATATTTTAGGTTCACGCTCTCACATTGTCAGGCACATCACAAATGTGGGAAATTTGGGGGTACTGCTCAGAGACCAGATGGTTTTTAGAGGGAAATATAGCCTACTAGACAACAAAACAAAAGTGTAAATTCCTAAATTTCTTAGGAAGGAAAGTAGAAAAGATAAGGTTGTCAAATGACTGCAGGCACCAGAACCTAAGCCTCAGGGGAGCGGGTCCTCGCTGCTTAGAATAGTGATCCAGGAATAGCTGTTGAGTGAACTCACAAAAAGACATTAGTAGATACACATGACTAAGTAACAGTACTAAGATGTATACATATTTTTAAAATAAGCTTGGGTCGTGAATGGTGGATTTTGAATTTGTGTTTATTATTTTCAACAAATGATGAATTAGTAAGATTAGGAGAGATAGAAAGTTGAAAATTTTTATCTTGCAAAAAAAGTCGTTGGGAGGATCGTGGGGAACAGTGGCTTTGATCCCAAAGTTACAGTACCCAGAGTACTTTGGCATCTCAGATTTATGACTGATTATGTGTCTTTCCTCTCTCCTTCCTGTGTGGCCCTGGATAAGTGATTTAATCTTTCTGTATTTCTGTTTCCTCATTTATAAAATGAGAATAATAGTAGAACCTATCTGATAGGATTATTGTGGGAATTAAACCAATTAACATGTGTAAAGCACTTGAAATAATGACAAGTGCACAGTAAGCTCTGTATGTGCTAATCGTCACTGTCCTTTCCGTCATTCTCTTCTTCCTCTTCAACATCATCATATCATTAGAAGTATACTTTCCATGTTTGAAGTAATTTTTGTCAGGAATTCTCACATCCCAAGCGATAACCAGAAATGAAAATGATTAAATTAAAAAAAAAAATTGGGGGATGCATATATTTAGATGTTTTCTTAAAAGCTTTAATGAGATACAATTCACATACTATAAAATTCACTCTTTAAAGCGTACAGTTCAATGATTTTTCGTATATTCACAAAATTGTGTAACCATTACCACTGTCTAATTTTAGAGTATTTCATCACTCCAAAAAGAAGTTTAGAACATTTTTATCACCCACATACCCGTCACCAGTCTCTCCCCATTCTTCCCTCTTTCCAGCCTGTGGCTACCACTAATCTCAGTCTGTATTCACACATTTGTCTATCCTGACTATTTCATATACATGGAAACATACAATAAATATGTGACCCTTGTGTATGGTTTCTTTAATTTAGCCTAATGTTTTCAAGTTTCATCCATGTCATAGCATGGACAAACTTTATTTATTTTAGTGAGGAAAAAATGTCATTGTAAGGATATGCCACATTTTGTTTATCCATTCATCATCACAGTATATGGATACATATGGGTGGTTTCTTTTTTTTGGCTATTCTAAATAATGCCGCTTGTGACATTTTTGTACAAATTTTGCATCAGTTTTTCATTTCTCTTGGGTATATACTGAAGAGTGGAATTGCTGGGTCGTCTGGTAATTCTGTGTTTAACATTTTGAGAAACTAGCAAACTACACCATTCTACAATCCTACCAGCAATGTATTAGGATTCCAATTTCTCTACATCTTTGCCAACATTCATATTCTGTCTTTCTTATTTTAGTCACCCTAGTATGTATAAGTGGTATCTCATTGTGATTTTGATTTGCATTTCTCTTATGACGATGAGCATTTTTATGTGCTTATTGCCATTTGTGTAACTTCTTTGGAGAAATGTCTATTCAAATCTTTTGACCATTTTTTAATTGAGTTATTTCTTTTTATCTTTGAGTTTTAAGAGTTCTTTATATGTTCTTCATACAAGTCTCATAAAATACATGATTTGCAAATATTTTCTCCCAATCTGTGGTTTCCCCTCCCCACACTTTTTTGCTGGTACCTTTTAAAGCATAAAAGTTTTTAATTCTAATGAAGTCCTATTGATTGATTGATTGATTGATTGATTGATTGATTTAGTCAGTCAGTCAGTCATTTGTACTTTTGGTGTTGTATCTAAGATGTTTTTGTCTAATACAAGGTCATGGAAATTTACTCTTATGTTTTCTTCTAAGACTTTTAAGTTTTTTTCTTATATTTAAGTCATTGATCCATTTTGAGTTAATTTTGTATATGGTGTGAGGTAAGGGCCAAATCTATTCTTTTGGATTAAGGTAGCCTATTTTCCCAGCACCATTCGTTGATAAGATGATGCTTTCCCCATTAAATTGTCTTGACAACTTTGTCAAAATCAAATGATCATAAATGGAAGGATTTATTTCTGGACTCTCAATTCTATTCCATTGATCTCTATGTCTGTCTTTATGCCAGTGCCACACTGTCTTGACTACTATAGTATTATAGTAAATTTTGAAACTGGAAAATGTGAGTTCTGCAACTTTGTTCTTCAGTTTTATTTTGGCTATTCTTGGTTCCATGCATTTTCATATGAATTATAAGGTAAAGTTGTCGATTTCTGCGGGGGGAAAAAAATGGCAGCTGAGATTTTGGTAGGGATTGCATTGAGTCTGTATATATTAATTTAGGGAGTACTGCCATCTTACAATATTAAGTCTTCTGGTCTATGGACATAGGATATGGGATGTCTTTCCATTTATTTAGATCTTTAATTTCTTTAAATGATTGTTTATAGTTTTCAGTATACAAGTCTTACACTTCTTTCGCTAAATTTACTTCTATTTGATTCTTTCTAATGCTGTTGTAAATGGAGTTGTTTTCTTAATTTTATTTTCAGATTGTTCACTGCCATATATTTGGAGATTTTGGGGGTAAAATATATATAACTTACCATTTTAATCACCTTTAAATATACAATTCACTGGCATTAAGTAGGTATTTGCAGTGTTGTGTAACCATCCCCACTATCTATTTGGAGAACTTTTTCATCATTCCAAACAGAAACCCTGTGCCCATTAAGCAATAGGTACATTATTCTGCATTCCGTCCCCCCACCCAGCTCATAGTAACTTCTACTGCACTCTATCTCTGAATTTGCCTTTTCTAGGTACCACATGTATGTAGAATCATACAGTATTTTTGAGTGTGTCTGGCTTACTTCATTTAGCATAATATTTTCAAGGTTCATCCATTCTTTTTTATGACTTACTATTGTATGTGTATACCACATTCATTGTATGTGTATACCACATTCTGTTTATACATTTATTGATGGGTATTAGGTTGTTTCCATCTTTTGCTATTTTGAATAATTTTGCTATTAACATTGCTCTACACTATCAGTTCACATCCCTTTCAGTTATTTTGGATATATACTTAGGAGTGGAATTGCTAGATCATATGGTAATTCTATGTTCACCTTTTTGAAGAACAGTAAAACTGTTTCTACAGGAGCTGCAGCATTTTATATTCTTACAGGCAGTGCGCGAGGGTTCCAATTTCTCTATGTCCTCACCAACACTTGTTATTTTCCACTTTTTTTATAATAGTCATCTTAATGGATGTGATTGGTTTTTAGATTAAGAATCCGAGTGCATCTAACAATCTTTTTAATGGTACAACAGCTAATCCCCTTTAGTATATATGTACGAAGTATATATTACATTGAAAAAAATCAATGTGATACTGTGAAATTGTGAAAATGTAAAATTGTGAATTTTCTCTATTATTAGTTTTATTTTCTTCTCGTAATTGTAATTTCCATAGTTTGCTATAGTTGAGGATAAACAATTAAATGAAAGCTGGGCTTTTAGAATATTGAAAACTTTTATATGTATAGCATTTTAAAGTTCGGAAAATATAACACTTCCTATCTTTTCTATGATGTTGAAGACAACGGAAACTACTGTTAGAACTCTACCAGACAAGGGTGAAGAGATGTGTGGATATTTCATGAATCCTTCTTTAATGTCATCAGAAAGTTCACCAACCTTGAAAAAGAAAACAGACGACGTGAGTGACCTCCCTTCTGAGAGTCAAAGAAGCATACCACTCGCTGTGACTGAAGCTTTAGAGCATATTATGGAACAGCTCAATGTTTTGACAGAGGTGAGTTGGCATGCTTTGCACTTGGGAGTAAGATATACAGAACAATGCTGGTTACAGCAGGTAGCAGAACTAGCAGAGCAGGGGGAAATTTTTCTTTCTTAGAAAGGCAAGCTCACAGTGGCAATCAGTATAGCAAGGCATGCTCTGCTGAGCTGCTCTAGCAAGGTCTTGTGGTGACACTTCATGCTATAAATGTATTTGATTCTGGGCAGTAATGTTTTACCCTAAGAATTTTTGATATATTGTGTTCAGATGACAATATTATCAAAGATATGATTAGGGCCATAAGGAAAATGTATTGGGATTAACCACTTCTAGTTAGAATGAAATATTAGCTATGTTTACAGTTCTTCACTCTAAAGGTATTCTCACTATGCAATACATAACTTCTCTCATTCCAAATTTCTTACATTGATGCTGTGTTCTTCTTGAAGTGATGGTTTTTGCATTCCAATTTTAAAATACTGTCTAGTCCTTTGATGCCAGTTTACCTTTTCAAAGAAGGAAAACCACGAATGTTACTATACCAAGGTCTTCCAACTCTCGGTCAGGAGATATAAATGTCATTTAAGGGAAGTGGTGTGTTGAAATCAATACACTAAGGGTTTCTCTTCCAGGTCTGCTGATTCACTGTTTCCTTTGAAGAAGTCTTCTGTTGTTCCTCTTTGATAAATAGACTGAGGATACCAATATTTGTCAGAGCAGACATTGTCACAAGTTATACAGAGAGGCTATAATGTGATCATGAGAAATGTCAATTACTTTTCCAGAGTATTTCAAGTTGAAATAGCTCTTGTATAAAAATAACCTAATTCTGTTCTCAAGCCTGGCTGTACGTTATAATAACCTGGAAAGTTCAAAAGCATAGAGACACTCAGTTCTCATCGTGACAGGATTCATTTACACTGGTTTAGGATCAGGCCTTGGCATTGGTCTTTTAAGCACCCTGTGGGGTTCTGTTATAGAGCCAGGGTTTAGAGCCACTAAATACAGGGTGAGATTATTCAGCTCCATGCCAGATTTAGTTTTGGTCTGCTTATTTCCCATATTGCCATGACGTGCCCACCTACACCAATGCAATGTTGGGAGCTAACATTGAGTCCTCGTTAGGACCTCTCCCAAGTGAATCTTCGTTCTCCACTCTTTCAGCTTTCTGACCCATTTCTCCATCTTTTTTAGCCGATTCAAGAATAAATGAATCACTTTAAACTTTATTGACCGTCTCTATGATTTTTTCTTTAATTTTACATATGAAAGAAGTTGAAAGCAGGCAAAGCACACTTGCAAAGTGGGAACAGCGAATCTGTGGGCAAGTAGCAAGTAAAATGAACGTGTTCTGAATCATTTTAATTACAGATGACTGAACCTCTAATTCAGTGGCAGTGTTTATAACTATCTGTACCAAACTATAATTAGAAATAAATTAAAATGAAATGTTTTAGATGGCAGATAGAGTTAACCAGTGTTAAAGGTGTTGATAACATATGTCTCAACAGCCTTAGCATGTGGAATTGTGATAACATGTTAAAGTATCTGGCAAAATGCTTGCACCATAGTAGGCATTGAAGAAATGATAGGCTATATTACCAGCATCACTATTATTTTTAGTTAGTCATAATGTCTAGTATGGAATATGAAAGCAAAAAATGTTAAATAATGAAATTTTTAAAAATCGGTTACCTTCAAAGGATGATAGGGCATCAGTTCATTATCATGGAACTTGCTGACTAAAATAACCACGCGTTTATTCTTCCTTTCCTCTATCAACTCTATCTCTGGATAACCAAATAGTAGATAAGGGGAGTGTCACTTATTTATAAATTATTACAACTAATAATTTTTAAAATTGTGGAATTCGAATATCGTTATTTGCAATCTCCAAGAATCAGTAGACCTTGGCATTGAGTAGTTACTCACATCATGAAAAGAGAAAGGACCAGACCTTATTAATGTATCTTCTAATGGGAGAATAGACCGCCACCTACAGCCTTAGCAAGGGATCTAACTTATCTTAGCAAGCCTTTGATACAGCTGCCAACTGACAGAAAATAAGGTAGAAGAACAGACTGCACCCTACCCTGAGTGTGCCATTTCTAAAATCTAGACTCGTGGAAATTCTACAGGTCAAATGGACTAAGACTGTCAGACAAATTATAACAAAAAGAAAGAGAAAGGATGCAAACCTATAGGTTAAATGACATATCAAGTCTTGAAAATGAATATGACAAAATTATAATGGCTAGGGATGTACACCTGAAAGATAAAATGATAAAGGAATACAAGAAAGTGATTACTGTAATGTCATGATAGTGGCTATTATGGGGGAAAGGCAGGAGTGCTGATTCTGACAGGCACCTAGAAAGATCTGTGGAGTAGCTGGCAGAGTTCTAGTTCCTGACTTGGATGCTGGCTATAAGAATATTTTTCTCATGAGAATTCATTAAGTGAGATGTGTTTTATGCAGCTTCCTGAATCTGTTTTATTTTATAATGAAAATAATTTTTGAATTATGTAAAACAGGGATTCCCAACCCCTGGACCACAGCCAGTCTGTGCCTGTTAGGAACTGGGTTGCACAGCAGGAGGCGAGCAGTGGGTGAGTGAGTGAAGCTTCATCTGTATTTGCAGCCACTCCCCAGCACTAGCATCACCGCCTCAGCTCCACCTCAGATCATTAGACATTAGATTCTCATAGGAGCACTAGTCCCTGGTGCCAAAAAGGATGGGGACTGCTGATGTAAAAGGCTGAAGATGTAGTAGTCAATATCACAAAAAAAATTAGATTAAAAGTAGTCATGTGTGTGTGTAGTCATATACTTGTTTATTAGCTGAAAGAGTTAGACTAGCTAACTCCCGTTTGCCAGGAACTCACTGAAGCATTTTCCCTGCATTATTTCATTCAGTATTCTTAACAACCCTATGAGGTATTATTATTATCTTTTGGGTGTGAGACCTGGTGGCAATCATTATGATATTTTCAAAGTATATGTGGCATCCATGTGTCTAGAGTAGAATAGGTATGGTCCTTCATAGATTGATTGTGATAGAATGACCAGTGATAACATTTAAGTAGCACTTGAGCTGGGCATGTGACATTCTATTCCTACCTGTTCTCCACACTTCCATGTAGCTTGTGGCAACACAGGTTGCTGTATGTGGCCTCTTCCCTGGCACTGATGCTTTGGAAGATCAGACATAAGAATTGTCTACAGAGGCCTGCTTTTGTATTCCTTTTCCCCTAAATATATTAGTTTTTTGTTTTTTGTTTTTTTCTTTCCCTGAAACCGCTTGTCAGTGCTTTGCCCTGTGGTAGGGCCCAGAAGCAGAGCAAGTTCTGGGGCTCATTTTTGAGCCAAGTTCCTGGCAAAAGGGTAAGCATTCCAGTCTAAAAAGGATCTCCTGTGCAGAGATCGTCGTCATTGTTCTCACCACCAGGTCACCAGCCATTGATTATTTTGTCCTCCTTTTTGCAGACTGTTTCAATCTTGGAGCAGCGACTGACTTTGACAGAGGATAAGCTGAAAGACTGCCTTGAAAATCAGCAAAAACTTTGCAATGCTATCCAACAGAAAAGTTAAATAGAAAACTATGAGCAGAGGCACTATAAATGAACACATGTACAGAGGAATGTAGTATAAGAGGCTTCATGCAACACAACCATATGCTAATTATCATGGCATTTCTTAAAAGAGTGAGTGCAACAGAACAAAAGGCAGAAAAGGCATAATTAAGGACTAATTTATACACACAAATCAATGTCAAGGACTAATTCAAATCATTACCATTTATGATTAGAGAAATAAAATGATAAGCATTCAAGTGACTCTATATTTTCCCCATATTTTTTTAAATGTCATTTTCATTTATAGTCCAGATCCTACCCGGAAAGTAACCAGATCTCTGGATTTCATTGTTAAGTCATTTCAAGTTGACCATGTTTTGGCAATTCCTTAGAGCAATTAATGTATTGTTTAAGTGAACACTCGGGGTAAAATAATTCACTTACCTCTAAAACAGCATCCTATGCGCAGAGAATGAGTTAATGACCTGTCTTGTATTTCCTTCAGTTCACAGAAAACATTTATTCTTCCTTGCCAATACCTTGAAAAAATGATCTTATAAAAATTCCCCAAACACAGAGTTTCCACAGCAAGAATACACTTATTTTAATTAGCAACAGTATATGCATAACAAAGGTCAGTGAGTTTTTATTTAATTTATGGTGTATATTGTTTATCCTTTGACCAACCTGAAAGAAAATGAAGAGTTAAAAATATGTGAAGCACATGAATCTTTTCTTTCATAGATGAATAAACTGAATGATTTGAGTTGTATTCGAGCCTGTAATCCCAGTTTACAAAGATTACGTTAATGTGATTTCATTATGCTCAAAAGCCAGAATGATGCCACAGTGATATTTTAAGATATACACACATATATGTTCACATGCTTCATAAATATTGCTGCTTAGGGTTATTTTGGCAACTGAATAATAACTACTTAAAAATATTTCTCATCATCATCTTCTCTTTTTATTTATTTTTTAATGAATTGTGATTTTAAACTAAATAAAAATGAGCCAGGCATACTAAAAGATCTTGGTTACAAGTTAAGAATTTTTTTTTTTTATCTTAAGCAAAATAAGAGATTAAATTGAAGAAAAAAAGATTAATTTTAGCTTGCTTTTCTGTTAACCTATATCAAAAAAAGAAGGTGGGAGAAGGCAATTCACATCTATGATGTCTAAAGTAACATGGGGAAAATGCTGTCTACATTTTGGAAAACAAGAAAAAGTTAAGTCTTATTTATGTAGGAGTTTACATTTAGAAATTTTTCTAAAAGCAATTTCACTTGTATCTATGAGGTGAGTTTTTTTAATCATCTCATTGTGTGTGTTTAAGTGCCTTTTTATATTATACTAAGCATAAACTTCTAGACATTTCCAAGAGTTTATAAAGACTAAATGGCATTGTATTTTTATAACCTCATTGAGAAGACTAAGAAATGAAATATCATACTGGTTTTTGTTTACTCTTTCTTTATGCTTGAAACAATAAAGACATTTACCTATAAACAAAACTTGTTCCTTTTTTTTAGTGATTGAAACCTGGAAATACTAAACTTATCATCTAGCTCACTCAACTTTAATGTGCATAACAACCTCCTGGAAAATTTGTCAAAAAACGGTTTCCTGGGCCCCATTCCCAGAGTTTATGATTCACTAGGTCTGTGGGGCCCAATAATTTGCATCTCTAAGAAACTCACTGGAGAGGTTGATGTTTGTTGTCTGAGGCCCACACTTTAGAAATCTTTGATCGAGCTATAGCCACTTCTTACAATACGATGTTGCCACATATTTTTAGTCATCACAGACCTTTATATGTGATATAAAAACAGTGATGTTTTAACTTAAAATGCCTTGAAACTTTTTTAAGAGTCATTTAATCTACCCTACCCTTTTTTTTTTTAAAGCTTTTGCAGATTCTCCTTGATGTTTATCAAATAGCATCCTTTCATATGTCCTAATTTATATATTCAAATGCCTGATCAACATCTCGACTTGGAAGACTAGTAAGCATCTCTAAATATGTCCCAAACCAAACTCTGCTGCCCACACCCCTCCCCACTAACCACCATCCACCAGCCAGCTCTGCCCCTCGTCTTCCCATCTTAAAAATGTCAACTCCTTCCAGGTGCTGAGGCCGAAGACCTCAAGGTCATCATTGACTCTTTTCTCTCATATACCACATTCCATTCCTCCAGTAAATCTTGTCAGAACACATAAAACACAATCACTTCTCACCACCACCTCCATCATCCGCTATGGCCAAGTCACCATCATCTCTTACCTGGACTGGTCTCCCTCCTGTCACCCTTGTACGGCAAGCCAGGGTGTGGCTCTTTGCCTCAAAACCCTTCAGGTCTTCCCACGTTAGAGTGAAAGCCTAAGACTCAGCAGTATGTGATGTGCGCTCCTACCTATTCCTCATGGACCTGGGCCCCTCCCCCTTGGGTCATGCTCGCTCACTGTCCTCTGGCCTGGTGGCCTCATCTGGCCTGGTGGCCTCTTCGCTCACTTTGAAGAAGCAAACCAGATCCCACCTGAGGGCATTTGTACTTGTCATTTCCTCTGCCTGGAATGCTCTGTCCCCAGGTATCCCTCATCACATTTCAGCCCTGCACACAGGCTACCCTTTCAGAGCTGCCCTCTCCAACCACCCTGTATAAAATAGTAACCATCCATCTACTCCCTGCATTTCTGCTACAACGTAGATTGCAATACAGTTGCAGTTCTGCCTCTTCCACTGTGACCTGACCTTCTCAAAAAGCAAGGACTGCCATCCTTAAAAATTGTCATTGTCACCTTGCCTTATTTATAGCAGGAGCGAAACAAATAGTTGTTGAATAAATGAGGATTTTCATTTATTCAAGTGGCTTTAAAACATGGCTCTTAGACTGAGTGGACTGGAAGAAATAATGTTTCTATTTTAGATGCTTTAGATCTAAATTTAGATGTAAACTTTAGATGCTTGATATTTGGGGCTGACTGGGCATTGCTCTGACCTGCTATTTGTGGTGTAGCTAAGTAGTTACATGTTCAGTAGTTACAGTCTTTGAAGCCAGAAAGACTTGGGTGCAAATTCTGGCTTTGCTTTTCTCTAGCAGTGTGACTTTAAGGAAAGGTACTCACAAAGCTTAAGTTTCCTTAACCATAAAAGGTTGTAATAATAACCTTTTATTATTAGAATAATAACATGAACTATGTTTGTGAAATGATTAGCACAGTATCTATAACATAGTTAAGTACTCAATAAATGTAGCTGTTATTGCAATTTATTAATCGTTTTGTTTTTCTGGACTGCATTTCTGAATAACATGATTTCAACTTTATGGAAGAGATATAGGGACTAATATTAAGTGGTATGGGTGAAATAAAGGGGTTCTATGGAAAGTAACCTCACAGAGTAATCTGATCACAAATTCCTAACTGGCCAGGTCTTGGTAGGAGTCAGCCCCAGGCCTATAACTTTTTTATTAAAAGGGTTATCTTTGCCTTAACAAACCCTGTCCATTGTTGCTGTGCATCTAGGTTAACACACCTTTAAAATGCCCCCTTTCAGAGCCCCCCTTCTAATACATTCTCACCCATCAGAGTTTAACACTTGTAATCCAATCCAATCCTGGCCTTGCTCTCTTCCACCTCCATGTACTCTTTCTTATGTTGCTTCCTAAATTTCAAAGGCATAAAAGGAAACTGCATGACTGTTGTTCTCCGGAGCATTTGAAATCCTGCTCCCCAGCATATGTCATCAATTTAGGCTCAAATAAACTCTTATGAAAATGCTCTCTACAGGTGGTGACAAATGAAAGCACAATATTTAATCCAAAATTAACGTTTTGTTTTTAAAAGTTCAACAAAAATAAATATATATAGGAAATTCGCCTTTCATACACAGAAAACCTCAAAGTTCAGGCCAACACTGGCTATTGAGTAGAACTCAGCCTGAGAATAAAAACATGATAATTATTCTAAATAAAGGTGAAGCAAAACAGAAAGTGAAAGAAGGGCCTGGAATGCGAACCAACCTAGAACTCATATTATCTGCCCTTTGACCACTTGGAGAACAGGTATTATTTGTTTACCACCTTTTCTCTAAAGATCAAGGCAGTCCAGATCTTCAGTTAACATTTCATTCATGTGTAGAACAAATTTGGGAGTTTGTTATTCCCAAAATGAATTCCATGCATCTAAGAAGATTGAGAGATGAACCATCTGTTCCTGGGTAGAAATATTTGGCTGCTGAGAGAAAAAAAATTTATTCTAATTTTTGGAGGTATTGACAAATAATCATGCTCAACTCAAGAGCAAATTTAATAATAAAAACAGACTGGGCTATAGTATTTAAGTGGAATTATGCTATAATATACTGTATACTTCATTTTCCTTGATGGCTTATACAATGTTTTGCCTTAGCAAGTCACGAGGTTTTAGTTTTAGGCACCAGAGCATTTATGAATGTACATTGACTCTAGGAACATAGTGTAATTGCCAGATTGTCTTCTATAAGCCCCAGCTGTGACTCAGCCAGATAACACAATGGCAGCCTGGGTTTACTAGGAAATTAGGTCAGTGGTTTGCCAAGAGGCAGTGGTTAATGAAGGGTGAAAAGGGTGTGCACGATTACTTTTTTCTTTGTAAGTTACATCAGTTGCATTTTCTTTGGGGTCAAATCTCAAACCTGTTCCTATTAAAAATAGACTCCAGTTTGAGTTTCTTTTCATAATAAAGTAGATTTCATGACAAAAGCAGTAGAAGAAATAACTCAATCATCTAAAAACCTCTAATATTATAAAGCAAAAATCCATGAACAGGAAAAATTAATGGAAATGCAACATAATTGGAAATATCCACATTTCCGAAGTAGAATCTAGTTAATCCATGTGGTATAAAAGTACACAAAAATTAATGACAGATGAAACATATATGTAAAGAACTACGTAGAAACTGAGCAAATAAGTTTTTCTGCCCAAGTGTCCTTTAAACAAAAATTGACCATGTTCTGGACCACACAATAAAAGTCATAGCTCTAAGTAACATATATCCAGAGAGTAAATCATAAAATGAGAAATAACAACAAAAAAAAGCTCAATTACATAGAAAATATAGAAAACTTAAACTCTACTAAGTTATATTTAGTTCAGAGAGAAACCCCCAAAATTTAGTGAAGAGCATTTTTAAATACAAATAGAAATGCAATATGCCAAATCAAATAAATACTGTCAAAACAATGAAAGTACAAACCAAGCATCTTCCTAAAAATGTAGAGAAAAAGCAATAAGCAGATAATACCTGTTCTTCAAGTGGTGAAAGGAAAATATGACAAAGTTAAAATAAGAAATGTAAAAAATCATTCCTCTTTGAAAATTCTAAAGTTAATCATTAACCCAAAGGAGGTGGGGGACTTGTTTTACTTTAAAACTAACTAATAAAAATATTAACTTAAAGTTAAGCCACCACTGAACATCGTTAAAGTAAATCCCAGCCATGAAGCAGAATGTAAAAATTTGAAGAACAATCCTAATAGAAATCTTATTTATGTTCTTTATTTCAAGATTTTTTTTAGTAGCTCTTGAATAGCACCTATGTATATGTTTTTGATTTAGGCCTGTGCGGGCAAGAGATCGATACATCAGGCTAGCACTGTAGCTGCTTTGACATAAATCCTTTTCCTTTACTGTCACACCCTAATCCTTTTGTAGACTCTCGGTTTGGAATAAAAAGTGTGACTAGGACACATTTGTAGAGTAGCACATTGGCCTTCCGTGAACAGGAAACTTCACTTTCTTCTCATTGTTTGTACAGACCTATCATTAAGAAAATTAATCGTCTGTCTCATTCTTTGACCCTGTCCCTTTCGGTGACTCAGAACCATGACCTGGAAGGATGAGAACGGCATCTATTGATTTTTAAATATTTATTTCAAAATGATTCAATGTTAACAAAATAATACATGTAAATACTTTTTGAAAAGTACAGAGAAAAAAAAGTCTGCATGGATCACTTTTGGATCACCTCTCCGCCTCGTTCAAGAAAATACCCGTTTGCCCAGATCCTCCCGGGGCCTGGAGAAAGGAAAATGAGAAACCACAATGGGGCGAGGACTGTGCAGCTCTCTGCTGGACACACCTGGGGAGCAGTCCGAGATGGGGAAAGAGCTTTTTGTCAAGCTGACTTCAGGATACTTTTGCACCTATAATTCTAATGAACCACTATCGCTACCGTAGGTTGTTTCCCCTGCTTAATCCACAAAGGAAATCCCTTTGCTTTTTCCAAGATAAAAAGTTAGAACAAAGAGAGAGTCAGGGGAAGCGCCCAGGCCTTTTGCTATAGATTTTCACTGAAGCCTGTCCAAGCCTTGGAGGATGGAACCCGAGGGCTATATTCTGTTTATTCCTACACCTGGACTGAATATCAAGGTCTGTGAGGAGATGAATCATTTAGAAACCTGATGTTCTTGTAGGGGCTGTTGCTTTTTTAGAACTCTTAATAACAACTGTGTCAAAGGCAAAAATCACAT